GGAAGGGATAGATGGAGATTAACGTTACAAATACTACTGAGGACTGGGAAGAAAACATCTGGTATATAGTATCACCTGTTATTTCTTTAAAGCCGTAGATTCCTAGGTTCTTCCCCAGATATTCTGATTTAGTGCTTAGATGGTGCTGAGAAATCTGTATTTTAAACCAGCACCCCAGTGATTATCAGATAAATTTGGGAAACGTTGCCATGAATAAAAAGTGACACTCCCCGAATGAAAGCATCCATAATTAGCACCTGGATAATTAACAGCTGTCTCCTGCTAACATCCCCATTCAGAACTGACGGCTCATCCGTCACTTGGAGTCATGTTCCTCTTTGATCCCAACTGCAGTGCAGATGGCGACTTTGCCATTGTCAAGTTAACCAAAGTGCTCCTGGACTACACCGGCCACATCACATGGACACCCCCGGCCATCTTCAAAAGCTACTGTGAGATCATCGTCACCCACTTTCCCTTTGACGAACAGAACTGCAGCATGAAGTTGGGCACCTGGACCTATGACGGCTCGGTGGTGGCCATCAACCCGGTAGGTGCTGACCTTGCAGGATGGGGCTGGATGCAGGAGGAGCGTCATCCAGGTGTCCAGCTCTGCCCCTCCAGAATCCCAGTCTCTCAGCACCAGTTATACCTTTGGGGATCATCGAATTCAACGGTTTGTTGTGTGCACATGAGAACCACCTGGGAGCTTACATACATTCCTCTGCCCGAACTAAGTCCCGGGAATTTTGGCTGAATCAGTCTGGGGTGGGACTAAGGTACCAATATGTTGTCAAGTTCCCAAGTGACTTGAAGGTGTGTTCAACATGGAGGGTCCCAATGGTCCAAACCCCCCTTATTTTATAGGAAAGACCCCAAATTGGAAGTGACCCTCCTGGGTCCCATTCCAGTCCCAACAGCACTGGAATCTGTTGCTTTATTACAGCTGAGTTTGAAACCCACCCCTCCTCAAGGGGGACACAGCTGGGGTTTCAAAGTTTCATTTTATCTTCTCAGGAAAGTGACCAACCAGACCTAAGCAACTTCATGGAAAGTGGAGAATGGGTGATCAAGGAGTCCCGGGGCTGGAAGCACTGGGTGTTCTATGCCTGTTGCCCCTCCACCCCCTACCTGGACATCACCTACCACTTTGTCATGCAGCGCCTACCCCTCTACTTCATCGTTAACGTCATCATTCCCTGCCTGCTCTTCTCCTTCTTAACCGGCCTGGTGTTCTACCTGCCCACAGACTCAGGTGGGTGCCGCTGCCATGGCCGCTGCTGCTGACGCGGACATATCTCGTGCTGCTATTTGGGGGGAAAGCAGAAATAATCATGGGCTAATAAACAAATACAGGCAGACACGCCCAAATCATCATCCCTGAGAGGACGCATTTACTGAGTGGCCATGTTCAGTGGTGAGTCACTGTGGCTAGAGCTCACAGCTGGAGCAGACTACAGGGCAGGCAGAGTTGAACATGACCCCGGAGGCACACATACATAGCTCAGTCTAGTTAATGTGAATAACCACCAATACTTGCTTGCTGAATACCTACCTACTGTGTGCCCAGAAATGTGCTGGGTAAGGTTTGGGTCACAGACACTCCTCATGTCACTTCCCCTATGAAGCCACTGACTATATACTGATTAATCCAAGTCTTGCCTCTTTTGCTCACAGCTTGCCACTTGAAAATAGCTTTTGTGTGTCTGTTTTCCAGATGGCAGTATCTTTATACACAAGACCATACTTCCCAAGTGGCAATTCCTTCTCATATCAGCCTGGGCAACTTCCTTACCTCCTACTGGGTAATCACATCTGTGACATAATTTCAACAAATACCAACAATCTGCAGAAAAGGGGAAAAGGGTACAGAAGTACCTGCTTGAAGTCACTGCTCATAAACAATTTAGGGCAGACAAGTAGGGGAAAAAGAAAGGTGGTACAGACAGTCCTCAAACTTATGACAGGTAACAATTATATCAAAATGATAAACACACACACAAGTCTAAGTCCAACTTTCCAACAAGGAAAAAAAAGATTCATATACACTCACTCATTCAACATATTTGTTGAACAGCTGTTATGTGGCAAGGCCACAGTAGAGAATAAGGCAGAATTCGCCCCACAGGGGCGCCTGATTGGCTCACTCAGTAAAGCATGTGACTCTTGATCTCGGGGTTGTGAGTTCAAGTCCCACATTGAGTGTAGAGATTACTTAAAAAAAAAAAAATCTTAAAAAAAAAAAGAATTTGCCCCACAGAATGTACATTGTATTTATGACTGTATTTATTTTTAAATAAATGATCCCAAACACAATTTTTTTTCAACTTTCTAATCAAATGAAACTTCTTAAAGTGAAGAGAGAAAATGCCAGTCAGGGCAATAGGGAAACAAACCAGAATTTCTGTAAATGTGAAATGGTTTACACTTGAAGAGCATTTAGAACAGTGAGAATGCATGATATATGCTAGCTCTTATTCTCATTATTATTAATCGAGAAATTTGATGTAACTTGATCAATATTTCGTATTTATACTTCTGTCCCCTTTCTCACTTTTAAAGACTTTCCTACCCACTAGGTAGACTTCTCCTAACTAGGCAGAATTGCTCATTTCTTGTTTGCATCCACTCTGTATCCTGTAGATACTCATAGCATCTGGAAGCATCCAGTATGGGAGTAGAACAGGGTAACACAAGGGTTTCCCAAGACAAACAGCAGGACCGGCCCAAGGAAAGTCCCTTCCAAAGGCTCTCTAACTGCATCTCAGGTGGTTAGTCCCCACAAAAATATTCCCATTCAGCCCCTCCCTCCTCACTTGCCATACCAAGACTCTAAAGGAATTGTTCACCCTGAAATTATAGGGCCTGGTGAAAAGAGGTTGGGGAAGGGAAATCTTCCCCAATATGAAAAACAGAACAAGAAAAAAAAAACCAAATTATCCTCTTAGATGAATGTGAAAAAGTAAGTAGTTCATTGGTTTTGTCCTTTTCTTGGTTTTGGTCCGGCAGCTTCCTCCCATAACGAGAAAACTACACGTGTACTTCTGGTTTGCCCATCCATCTGCTGGCTAACAAGTAGGTCAGGTTCCGTTTTGGGAGGTTGATGACATTCTGCTGCAGACAGAAAACTGCCACCCGGAGTCTAGCCCGTCACATAGCTGGGTGTACTTGGTTCCCTGAATTCCAAGCCTCAGAATTCTGGGACATGAGATCGAGTAGCCACTGGTTGCTTGGCAGCCTCTCATGGAAATGCCTGCCACTTGCCACTGTCAGCAGAGCTAAGGTGCATAAGGTCTCAAAGGACCAAATTCTGCCCAGGAAATTTCCCCAGCGTCACGCAGGTCACATTGCTCTCACCCTTGGGGTCTGTGGTATATGAGCTGGCTGGGGCTGCCATAACAAAGTACCCCAGGCTGGGCCGTTAAACGACAGGAATTTGTTTCCACATGGTTCTGGAGGCCAAGGTGTCAGTAGGTTCGGTTTCCCACGAGGCTTCTCTCCTTGCCTTGCACACGGCTGTCTTCCCCGTGTCTTCACCTGGTCCTTCCTCTCTGTGGGTATCTCTGTCCTAATCTCCTCTTCCTAGAAGGACACCAGTCATCCTGGATGAGGGCCCTCCCTAATCAACTCATTTTGACTTAAGGCCTCATCTCCAAATATAGTCCTGGGGGTGTCGAGGCTTAGGACTTCCACGTATAAAATTGAAGGGTACGACAATTCAGCCCATAACACATGAGTGGCTGTATTTCTTCTTCATGTTGTCCAGGAGAGAAGATGACTCTAAGCATCTCAGTCCTGCTGTCCTTAACCGTGTTCCTCCTGGTCATCGTGGAGCTGATCCCTTCCACCTCCAGTGCCGTGCCCTTGATTGGGAAATACATGCTGTTCACCATGGTGTTTGTCATAGCGTCCATCATCATCACCGTCATTGTCATCAATACACACCACCGCTCCCCCAGCACCCACGTCATGCCCGACTGGGTACGCAAGGTGAGTGAGCAAGGCCCTGCAAACTCTTGCCCGTAAGAACGTCTCTCCTTCCACGTGGCCAGTGGAATTCTGGTTAACAACTGTGGGTACTTAGGAACTGAAAGTCCTTTCTGGGGATTTTGAGGGGATTTCTGGAAGGAACTTTCTTTAGCCTCTTTCTAGGAATAAATAACTCATGTAGCCTCCCCAGGCACAGAAGAACAGAATTAACAAAGCCCCCTCCAAAATCAAGCTTAAATAATCCCTTTGATTAGAGAAGGTGAATAAGTCACTTTCTTTTTAGTCAAATGCTGTGAAATTCTTGAGATTTCTGTTTGTATGTCTTCTAATCTCTGAACAGACTGCTTATTTTTTGCTGGGAGAAATTATCTGCTGAGACTACAATAAGGACTAGAGATGGAGGGGGTGCTTGACAAGAAATTGTCAAAAAGTGAGTTTCACTGAGGAACTTGGTCTCAAATATTTCCATTATTGAAATTTAAAGTGTGTTAACATTTCCAATATGTCAGTTTTTAAATAAAACTTCACAGAGACACTAGCGTCCAGGGTCTTTTCTGTAGCATGCAAAAGATTTGTCATGAATTGACAGAAACCATACTGCTTGCAATGTATTCTTTTGGGAAGACAATCAGTCCTTATATCTATAAAGACTCATATGACTCCTGGCAACACTTATGTTGCATTTCTTCAGGAACAAGAAATGGAAGAAAACAGAGTAGCTGTTTTGGAGACTTATATATTCTTTTAGCCAGAAAGACCTTTTCTTTAACCATATTATCCTGCTAACACATGGCTTTGAAAGAAGCTGGTACCTATAGCAGGGCTGGAAGCTTAAGCAGCATTGGTTTCTCATTGAGTCCAATAGCTGCACACAGGCTCCCTCCAGTGGCGAACTCCTCACATTACAGAATCATCTCTACTCACCGTAGTAATTTGACAGGCCACAAGATATGCCTGAAGAAATCTTTAAGAAAATTTAGTAGAGTCCTTTTGTTTTAAGGACAAAGGGGCTAAGGCCCAGAGAAGCCAAATGACTTGCCTAAAGTCACGCTGCTAATTCAAAGTCAGAGTTTGATACTTGCCCTGTTGGCAATAATTCTCATGCATGGATTTCTTCTTTATGTTAGGTTTTTATCGACACTATCCCAAATATCATGTTCTTCTCCACAATGAAAAGACCATCCAGAGAAAAACAAGACAAAAAGATTTTTACGGAAGACATTGATATTTCTGACATTTCTGGGAAGCCAGGGCCTCCACCCATGGGTTTCCACTCTCCCTTAATCAAACACCCTGAAGTAAAAAGTGCCATTGAAGGAGTCAAATACATCGCAGAGACCATGAAGTCAGACCAGGAGTCCAATAATGTAAGTTCTGTGCCTTGAAACCCACTCCTCCAGGCTTAAATTATCAAATACTTGAGCACAGATGGACATGGACGGGTTTGTCTTGACGGGTAGGTTGGCATTCACGAGGCAGCTGCTGACCTCCGATGTGCCTTGGTGACCACCTCTAAGCCGCCTTCGTGAGCCATCCCATTGTGAATAATCTATCGGCACAATAAAGATCACCATGCCAGCCAAGGGATGTCGAGGGCTTTGAGATCTGCAAATTGTGTGGACCATAGACGATGCATAACGTGAACACTGTGAGTCTAATGACCACCTGAAGGAAATTCTAACACTTTTCTCTCTCCCAGGCGGCCGAGGAATGGAAGTATGTTGCAATGGTGATGGACCACATTCTCCTTGGAGTCTTCATGCTCGTCTGTATCATTGGAACCCTGGCCGTGTTTGCAGGTCGGCTCATTGAATTAAATCAGCAAGGATGAGCAGCGCTGAGCACTAGGCGGAGCAGAGAAAGGCGGGGAAGACAGAAATATCTGTCTGCTTTGATACAAGCTCACTTATCAGACATCAAATTTTCTGTATTTATGATTAATGATAATGATTTTTATTTACATAAGGTGATGGCCTCAAGTATTTTCACAGTACTTCTTCAATCCGGCTCTATCCGCCTGTAGAGTGAGCCCTTTGTAGTACATGAAATGGGATCACTAACAAGACGTATTTGTTTCCAAAGGCATCTGGAAGAGTTTTGCCCAGAATAACAGGTTTTCTATTTTTTTTTTTTAAGCAAAGAATGCGTCCTTTGCTTAAAAGTCAGTTTTGTACATGCAAGTAAGCCCATCTGCCAGTCCCCAAAAGATAAAGCATTTGATTTAGAGAGAAAAGGAAACTGTAGAAAGGCAACCGCTAAGTTCTAAAACAGCCACCAAAATGCAAACTGCATCAAAAACGCATGCTGTAAAGCAGATTTCTAGAGCTGGGATGTGAGGGAGGGGCTTCCCAGTCTAACACAGCACCTGAGTATGCTGCTCAAGGCTTGAGGAACACAGCCAGCTAGCTTTCTGAGCTATACCAAGTGTGAGGGCCAGGCACTGTGGGAATTGTCTCAGGAATGTGGTTTTATTCCATCCTCCTGACTTTCATAATGTCCCTATTTTACAAATGAGAAAGCTGAACTTGAGAAGCTTAAGTTCATTGCCCAAACTAGCAAGGAGAAGAACTGAGAGTTGAACCCAGACCAAATGTGGATTCAAAGCAGCGCAGGGCTGGGTCAGTTCATCTGCTCACTTGCTCCCCCCGCCCCTGCTCACCTGATCTAGGCCATCCTGTAACTCTGCTCAGGGTTTGGAGAGCTTCAGTCTTAGTGTCAACCACCTTTCTGCCCTTCCCAATTAAACCTCCTGCCCTTTCCCCTAGTCCTCATTCAGTCCTGCTTGGGGTTTTTGTTCTATCAATGAAATCAGACATGTATGCACATACCACCACCATTCTTAAAATTCCAGACAAGTGAACAGCAGAGAAAAGGATGTTTCTTCATAGCCACTTTCCAGCCACAATGTAATTCACTCCAGAAATAGAAAGTGGGCAGCCCTGGGCTCTGGGTGGCCTCTCCGATCCCAGGTGGTTTTGAGCTACCTCTCCATGGAATTCTCAAGCACACACCCATGGCAGGGACAGAGTGCTTTCATTTTAGAGTAAACTCAAGGAAAAGCAGTTTGGTGGTTCCTCAAAAAACTAAACATAGAATTATCATAGGATTCGGTAATTCTACTCCTAGGTATATACCCAAAAGTGAAAGCAGGGACATGAACAGACACGTGTATGCCAATGTTCACAGAGCGTTAAATCACAATCCCAAAAGGTGAAAACAGCTGAAGTGTCCAGCACTGGAAAAACAGTATATACATACAATGGAATATTATTCAGCCTTAAAGAGGGATTCTGATGTATGTTACAATATGGATCAACCTTGAAAACATACTTGGTGAAATAAGCTAGACACAAAAGGACAAATCTTGTGATTCCACTTATATGAGGTACCTAGAAGAGGCAAATTCATAGAGAAAGCAGAAATAGAGATTGCCAGGGTTTAGAGGGAGGGGTGAGTTATTGCTCAACGGGTAGAATTTCAGATTGGGAGGATGGGAAAGTTCTGGAATGGACGGTGGTGATGGTTGTACAACATTGTGAATGTACTTAATGCCACTGAATTGTACACTTAAAAATGGTCACGATGGTAAATTTTATGCATATTTTACCACAATTAAAATAAAGAATGAAAACTATGGTAAAACTGTAACTGTCATGTTATATGTATTTTACCACAATTAGATGAACAAAAAACAATCTGCTACTTGCCTAATCTGACCTAGTCTCCCAGGACTGACCGTTGATTCAGAGAAGGAACTGAAAAGTCACTTCCATTCTCAGGAAACAGAGGCTTACAGAAGTAACCTCCCTCAGGTCACAGAGCAATTTGGTGACACACCAGACCTTCTCACTCCGCTCCTGCGCTATGTCCGTCACACCAAATAACCCCTCTACCCACAAAGCAAGGCCCTCGGGCACATTCCCTCCTGGCCAGCAGAGCCAGCCTGAGTGGATACCACAGTGCTATGGCGTGTAGTTCCATCAGCCCCTAAATATCTGTCCCATCAGTCTGTCACCACATCAAAGGCTTTCATCTTTGGACTCTCCACCCTTAGTTTGGGCTGGTCTCCAGAAGACCCTGACGCAATGGGAGGGGAGGCAGAGGGTGCTGGGATGTCTCCCCCCCGGGAAGGCCTTTGCTGAGGTCCCGGCCTGCCTGTGCCCATGTAGCTCTGTGGATGAGCGTGTCTGCACAGCAGGAGGACTTCCTGGGAAATAAGGAGCATCCTGCAACTGGGACACAGGCAGGTACGTGCATTTACAGACTGAAACCAGAAGCAGAAACTGTTCAGAGCTCAGCTCTCTAAGTCTTCTCTTTTTCTACCCTTGGTTGTTAGAACTGGGAGTTTTTTTTAAATCAGAAACTATATTAACATTTAAACAGATCAGATGGGGTCTTCAGGGAGAGATTTTGAGGCTGGGTGGGAGGTAGCAGTGTTGGCCCCCGTCACTAGAGACCACAGTGCTGTTGTATTCCTCCTGGAGGGTAGAGGGTCAGGCAGAGGGGCTCAGGCAGCGGTCTCCTTGCCTGCTGCCCAACTGATTTCACCCCACCCTAAGAACCGGGTCCTGTCTTCAGGCCTGAGTTCCCCGCTCCTGGTTCTTAAACCACCATGTTCAAGGTCATCTCTCCCATAGAGTGCTCTCCCATAGCTGCTTGAGTTCTAGCCCCACACTGGTTCTTGAGCCACCGTAGCCACTTGAGGTCTCTCCCACCACACCCTCCCTCTGCCTCTACCCAAATCCCCCAAGCCCTACCCCACAACGCCGTTGGGTTTTCCAAGTAAGCCTCCTTGCTACTGGTTAAGGGCTTTCCCCAATACCACCCATGTTCCAATCACTGCTGCCCGAGGTTATGCTCCTACAGCCCGAGTTCTCCAACTCTTCCCCCCCAAATCGCCCCATGCTGCCACCCACTGCTGCCTGGGTTTACCAGTTACCCCAGCCATGGTCTCTTCTGCACCTCTGCCTGAGTCTGACCTCTGCCAGTGCCTTAATTTATTCCCACCGCCCTTGCCTGGGTCTGTCCTGACTGCAGCCCAAGGGGGGTCTCAACACTCTCCCTCACAGCTCTTCTCCCCTTTGCTGCCTGCTGATTTACCCTCACCCCCAAGCCGGGCTGCTCGGTCTTTCCCCTGACTCATGCCCTTGTCCTCATTGTCACCGTCACCACTGCCGCTGCAGGAGCCAGGCTGTCGTCCTCATCCTTGGGCCCAGGGGCTCTGCGTGTGCAGAGGAGGTAGGCAGGGATGGGGTGGGGCTGGAGCACGGGGATGCCTGGTGGGGTGCAGCCACAGAGAGGGGCCAGCAGGGTCCGAGCCTGCCCCCCAGGAGAAACTCTAGCAAGTCAGCTGGGTGGGCCTCCATTGCCAAGTGCAGGCTGCCTGTGGGCTCCAGTCTGTTGAGGTCAGCTTGGGCCTCCTGGAGGAGCCAGATCATGTCTGCCTCGTAGAGGATGGCGGCCACATGGAGTGGGCCATGGTCCTTGTCATTTTCAGCCTGCAACTGCAGCTTCCGGTCCTCCTCACTTTCCTCCAAGTTCTCTAAACTGGTTCTTGGGTCGATGTTGGGGATGTGTTTGGGCCCTGAGCTAGGTAGGGGTCAGGGGCTCCTTGGGGCACCCAGTGGGGACTGGAGCCATGCCTGCAGCAGGCCAGGAACAACAACCCAGTGTGCACCACACACTCCTGCGGCGTGGACCCCTCCACAGGCTGGCTGCTAGCTGTGGGGCTGTCTGGCCCAGCTCGTTCTATGGGCCCAGGTCCTCAGTGCCAGCCGCAAAGCCTAGCAGCAGATCCAGGAAGGGCTCGTGCTGATGAATCACTTCCGAGTGTAGTGCCGGGGCCCCATCTTCAGGGGTGGTAGCCGAAGATGAGGGGTGCCAACAACAGCCCCGGCCCGCCTCTGCCCAGTGCTGGTCCTCCCAGGGTCACTGGGTCTGGACCCCGTGAGCCCAGGTCACTGTCACGCCATTCATGCACACCTACAGCCTCCCCAAGCAGGTGCCCTGGCCGTGACCCCCCCAACCGCAGCCCCTAAGTCTTCTTTTGCATTTGCCCCCCCCCCCGGGGAGGAGGAGGCCTAGAGAAGTGGGACACTGTCTCAGTGTCCCAAGGCTGCATAACCAAGTGCCACAAGCTGGGTGGCTTAAAACAACAGAAATTCATTCTCTCCCAGCCCTGGAGGCCTGCTGTGGACTGAACTGCATCCCCCCAAAATTTGTACAATGAAGCCCTACCTCCTCCGGCCCCCCACCTCCATGTGATGGTATTTGAAGATAGGGCTTTGGGAAATTTAGGCTTAGATGAGGTTGTGAGAGTAGGATCCTCACAACGGGATTAGTGCTTTTGAAGAAGAAACACCTCTCTCTCCTGCTTGCTGCCCCGTGAGGGCCCCAGAGCGAAGGCGGCTGTCCACAAGTCAGGAAGAGGGCCCTCACCAAAGCCCACCCGCGCTGGCGTCCTGACCTCATATTTCCAGCCTCCAGGACTGTGGGAAAATACACTTCTGTCGGTTAAGCCACCCACTCTGTGGTATCTGGTTATGGCAGCATGAGCTAAGACAAGGCCAAAGTCCCAAATCACGGTGTTAACAGGCTGATTCCTTCTGGAGGCTCTGAGGGGGAATCAGCCCCATGCCTCACTTGTAGGTTCTGGTGGGTACTGGCAGCCCTTGGTGTCAATTGGCTTGTGGCAGCAGGACTCAACCCTCCGCCTCCATCTTCGTGTGCCTTCTTCTTGGTGTCTTCTCCTTTTCTGTCCTTTAGAACACTTGTCATTGGATTTAGGGCCTATCCTAAATCCAGTATGATCTCATCATAAGATCCTTAACTTAGTTACAACTGCAAAAACCCTACAGGGCCTGGAGCACCAGGAGTCGCCCGGCCAGGGGAGGCCTGGTAGGAAGGCCTCC